TTTAGCTAAAATATCTACCTACATTGGGTTTAGTAAGTTAATATTTGAAGAAAATAAATTTTTTTTATATAAATTTTATATTTTTTATTTGAATGGCTTGTCCTTTTATAGTTCTGTATTAAAAAAGATAAATTTTTTATCCTATGATGTAATTGATTTAGAATATTAATATTAAATTGTATAATAATAATAATAGTAATAGACTAAAACATAATAAAATTAGTATTTATTAAAACTAGATTTACGAAAAAAGAATTAGATGAAATAATATTTAAAAATATGTTATTTTAATAAAATATTATAAAAATTAAAATAATTTCATTTTATTTTTGAAAATTAAAATATTTTAATATTTTTTAATAAAAATTAATAAAAATAACATAATTTAAAAATATTTTTTACTTAATTTTTTATAAATATAGTTGATACATATTTTTTCAATAATAATAATAATAATAATAAAAAAGAAACTTCCAGTTCTTTTTATATGCAAAACTTTAAACTCTTTTCATTTGTTAGGCTTGGATCTTAGAAAAAAAATATCAGCTTTATTTTCCATAATTTACAGAAAAGTTAAGAATGGTTGTCAACATCAACATTTTCATGGGGATGCACCATTTTGCATAGTTTTCTACATTACAATAATCAATTATGCGATGCATGTCTCATGCACTGTACTTCTTGTCTGGGGTCCTAGCTAAATGTCTGCATCTAAAGAAAATGGACAAAATAATTATATTTGCAACAAATTTTTTAAAAAAAATTATAAAAATTTGCGGTGGACAAAACTCATTTTGGATCTAACAACTCCATTGGCGAGGTCTCTTTAGAATTGCTGTGAAATTGCTGTGAAATGTGATGTGATTATAGCTATTCATGTACAGTATTGTCAACAAAAAAAATAGTGCTTGGTAATTATTTTATAAAAATTAATGTATTTTGGATAATTAATAAAATATAAAAAGATTAATTAAAATCAATTTAATTATAACTAATTAAGTAACATTTTTAGTGGTCTATATTGGTTTGAAACAACTTAATGTGAAAACATTTAAAAAAAAAAAAAAAACCTTAATGTGAAAGCAAAGTCATAAACAGAAAAACTCCACTGAGGAAATTTCATTTTTATTCATTTTTAAAATTTTTTTTCTTTTTTCAGTAAAAATTGCTCTCGTATAGTTTAAGTATTAAAATTATTAAAATATTCTTAATAAAACTTTCCTTCATGTTTGTTTATTAATGATATTTTGATAATTTTAGTATTCAAATTGTTTTTTTTTTAATGCAATTTACAGTAAAAAGAACATCAATTCCTTTTTTTTTTTTTTAATGGGCTCTATTAAAGTCAAATAGCTTTCAAGTTAGAAAGAATAGTTCATGGAGTTGGGCTGTAAAGTGGAAAGGAATTTCAATTTTCGACCCAAATACTACTTTAAAAAGGGAATGAGTATATGCCTTTGCTTTAGGAAATGTAATGAATATGGTGAAGGGGGGGGGGAGGGTGGTGGAATTGTGCACTTTGGGATCAATGGGTTAGCTCATGAGGTTGTACGAACTAAAACCTTAAATTCCCACATTAGGAGAAACAAAAATCATCATAAAAGGAGCAAACCGTAGGGAAAAATATATATACATATCCTTATGACAAGGAATATAATGAGACCTTATATCAATTGATTGAAAATTTAAAAATTAAAACTCTTTAAAATTGTGAGTCTTAGTTCTCATGGATGCATGTTTAATTAAAATTTTTTTAAGGTATACATATCATATAATAGTTAAATCTAAACTACGTATTCTTGTAGTGTTTTTACAGTTTACATAAAAGAATACCCTTACCATTCACATGCTACAATTTTG